GCAGAACCTCCTATAAAGAGGAACAGCAGCATAACTACATCCCACCATAGCAAAAACCAATGCTACAAGGTACAAAAGCATATTTTTGGACTTCCGTTCGATGGAAGCTTTAGAGTAGCAGCGTTGAATATTGTACATGGAAGAACACCTTCCAATATAACGAGTAGAAGGAGATGAAAGCCAATGAGACTTCTGAAATGACTGTGAATGGAAACGACGTCCCCAATTCAAGCTCCATAAATCTAAGCCAGAACTTTTATAAACATTACGACTTTGGCTAAAATTATAAGTTGATTGCTGAAGAAAATTGGATGTCAACCTGCATCCAAAAAGCGTACAGTGACCATATGCCAACAAAAACAGTAACTAGTCCACAAGATGTGATAGCTTAGAGATTTCCAAAAACACACTATGAAGATGTCAAATAAATTCAATCATAGCGAGAAGGAAAACTCCACAGATTACACCAAGTTTAGAAGCCGATAGTAAAGCAAAATCATTATCAAACATTGAAATGTATCTTTCATCAATGGAAAACCATAGTCCCAGGAAAAACTTACGATGCATGAACATGTGGACGGAGATTACCATTGCGAGACCAGATGTAGCTTGGACACTGCAACCCTTGATCAGCCTCATAACAGGATGCTACTGTCGCAAAGCTCAAATGTTCTAACGCACCACCTCCCATAAAAGCAAGTGTTCCAAAGGACTGCATCATTCAAGCAGATCCAATGCCATCATTCTTTGATATATGGGATAAGAAAGGTGGAAATTTCATCTATAATATATTAGAAAAGGCAAAATCTTGAAGAAACATTCTTGGGCCATTACACTACATGAACTACACGTGATAACAGAATGGTATGAGTTGTATTTTCTCTCATTAGACATTACTACATTTCACAACTAAGTGTTCGGCGGATTCAAATTCAAATTCGATCATTGAAGCTGTGCTACTTGATTTGACACACTAATTCTTCATAGGAAAAAGAAAGAAAAGAGGCAAAGTAAGTTCTTACTGTAGATTGGGTCTTAAGATTCCTCCTTAGTAGCTGCCTGATCATTCCTCCACCAGCCATCGAGTCAGTATATTTGTAAGCTGTTTTAGATCAAAAAAAGTCTTTAGAACCAAAAAAAAAAAAAAAGAAAATAGAAACTCATTTCAGGCCTAGCTCTTAAGAACCAACTTACAATCTAGCTCTGATTCTCTTGCCTGATGGCCAAGCCCGGAAGAAGTTATTAAAGTTTGGGAGAGGTTTGCGCTTCACGATTGTGCCATTCGTCTTCGACCCTGTGATAATTTCTGGCTGCCGAATATAGACGTCTGGTTTTTGAGAATGGGTGAATCGAGATTCTGGATTTACCTCCCAATCTTCGGTATTTGGAGATTATTCAGAAGTTAGCGAGTTTGTGTGGGTGATCTATTGGGGGAGAAGAAGGGACTAATGCGGGTGATTCGCGGGAGGAGGATGTTTTCTTGAATTAGAGGAGGTGGATTTTCCGGTGAGTTATGTGCCGGTGGAACGATGAAGAATGGGCAGGTAGGGCAGACAGCCCGGGAAAAAAGGCTGAAGCAGGCGTCGACGTCCGACGAATTTCGTTCTCAAGGAAAGGGTGTCATGGCTTCTTCTCAGCCGCGAGTAACGCTGTCCAAATCGGAGAAGGCTTTGAATTCTCTTGGGGAGGTGGGCCTTAAGGATTTAAGCCCAAAAAGTAGTGGCAGTCAGCCCGGGAGGAAGATGCTTTGCTAAGTCGAAAAAAAAAAAAAAAAAAAAAAAAAAAAAAAAAAAAAAAAAAAAAAAAAAAAAAAAAAAAAAAAAAAAAAAAAAAAAAAAAAAAAAAAAAAAAAACATGTTCTTTACCTTATTAGTTCCAAAACTGTTGGAGACTATTTTAAAAAACATCAGAGTAGTTGTCGGAGACATTCTAGAAATGAATCATTGTTGAAACTGCCATATTCATCTTCCATGCCAAGCCATCATCGGAAGACAAGACAAACTTATTCAAACCATTGTCAAAAGAAAAGTTGAGAGACTACTAATAAAACGCGAGACTAATTAGTTTCATTTAAAACAAAAATTCATCCATTTGTGTTGGTTTATAATCTTTTAAAGTTGAGGAGCTTAGTTGGATGATCTCTTTAAGCTAAATATTATAGATTATTAAAAAAAATACTCTTGGTCTACTTTATTGAAAATGGTAGGACAATGTTCATATCAATCCACCACTAATATCTTCATATTCGTTACCGAACCCTTATTTAATATAACATTATCTTAAGCTTTTTCAACAAAAAGTTGATAGAAACATAACTTTGTTTCCCTTTTTCTTTCACGATCATTCCAATCCCACTTGACAAAGTAGCTAAAAAAACAAGCACTACTCCTTGAAATCCTTTCAAGTAAATGCTCTGTAGTTTAGAGGTCGTCAAATCTACCCAAAAAGCAAGCATACAAATGAGCATATTTGAGAGGTAAAAAGCCACAAAAAGAGAAAAGGGGCACAATCCCAAGGCCTCTTTTGAAGCGTACAACCTTGTTTCCTCAACATCATCATCATTAGAGAAGGCCCTATATTCTTCTTGATTGGTGTCGATGAATTAAGGCCTCATAGGATCCTTTCACTCTCTTTTCTTTTCCAAACTCCAACTCTTTCTTTTTATCCCTTCTTTATTAAGTATTAGCCAACCACTCGGCCTAAACTTTTAAATTCGATTTATGTAGACCTCGAAATGAAATCTATTCCAAACATACATGTCATGGTTCTTTACTTCGACAGGGTACAAATATCTAAAATTTTCATTTTTAGATACTTTTTCAGACTTATTGCCGATACTAAATATAAATAGTAGCAAAAAATTTGTATCCATTTTTCGTGATATTATGCATGGATCAGCTATAACATGGCGAATTCTTCCAAAAAAATTGTCTTCCAAAATGGAATCTGATAAGTGAGATTTCGAGTAAGTGTTTACATAATCCTCTTTTGTTCGAAGAAATGATTCATCGAAATAATGAGTCACTTGTTCGTTTTTATCTCATTTTTACCCTTATTGATTTAGAGATTTCCCTTTTTATATCTAAGAGCGTCCATGCTACAACTCTACGTCCCAAAATTAATACCGAATTAGGTTAAAGAATTGGGTGATAACAGTTCCTCTACATCTGCCAATAGCACTTTGCTTGCACACTAGTAGCCTCAATCCTTCTTTTATATTGTGTCTCGGAGATATTGTCCAAGAAAAAGAAACAGTGCAGCTTTCTAAAAATGTGATTCAATAATGCAAAATAAATATATGAAGACAAAACATGTCTTTTCTAAGAAACAAAATTATGGCGAACTTTGTCAAATAAGATCTCGAGATGGTTAGAGTAAGCACAAGAAATAATGGATTTTATTAGGAGGGGATGATGGTGATTTAAGATGTTACACACAAAGGACACAAATTTGTAGAGTATAGAAAAAGTCTCCACCTAATAAAGTGCAGCCTCCATTAATTGTCAAAGCTCATGCCCCATTTATTTTATTGGTTTTTCTAATTCAAATCTAACCACCAAAAAATAAATTAGGATTTTTTTATTTTTTTAATTATACAACTTATTCATAGCACGATAAAATTTAGTTTTATTTACTCTCCAAACCTTTTCAATTATGATTTTAATTTAATTAAACTTAAACATGTAATTATTGTTGGTATATGACTTAATTATTAAGTTAGCTCAGAAAAATAATATTTAAAACCAAATATTTTTCTCTTTCCTAATCATTAGTCCTCACCCAAGTCAATGATCCCACGTGGCAGTGTCCAATATGAACAGTTCATTTATATATATATATATATATATATTTCAATTATTGTATTATTTTCTCTTCCATTCAAGAACTACCTAACTATTGTGTATCATATGCCGACCAATCAGTTATTATTTATTCCTTATAAATAAATAAATATTAGAAAATGGAGAATGTGAGTGCAGCGCAACGTTTGGTGGCTGAACATTTTGAAAATTAATTTTTCAGATTTGAAATATAATTCATACTCTATTATTTAATTATATTGCATATGCTTTTCTTTCTTCCTTCGTTGGCCATCTTATATTATTTATTTAATATTATCCATTTCGTTATAGGATAAACTAATTCACGCTTACCCTCATGCCTGCCAGACTCATTACATCAAAATATTAAATTATCCATTTAAATTATATATTTAATCTCCTAACTTTATTTTTATTTTTTTTTTTGCCAATCATTTTTAATGATCCTTTCCAAAATTACAAAAATGTAGTTTCTTGTTAATTATCCATTTAAATGAAAAATTGTAAAATACATGCTTTAATTGGTAATTTGCTTTGAAATCCTTATGGAATATTAAATATTAAAATGAGATTTAATGGTATATTATAAAATCCATGAACTAAAGAAAGCCGTATACAAATATCTCTCATAAAATCAATGAAATTTGATTTCCAATTTTGTTCAGCGACGATTTCGTGCAAACCAATTTCTTAATCATATTATTCCGACGCTAAAGAATTTAATAACACTGAAAATCCAATTAAATATTATTTACTAAATTATTATTATTATTATTATATCTCAATATTTTTACTTACAGCCAATAATTTATCATTTTAAATATACCCCATTATGTTATGAATTCTCTAGTAAATAATTATTAGAGGAAATTTTTGCAGATTGAGAAACAATATTAATAAGAGTATTTATTTTGCAAATTAATTCAACTTTCCTACATAATTCAATAAACTTAGGTCAATAATTAATCTTGGTCTTATTCTTTTTTAATATTCTAACTATATAATTCAAAATTTAATTATTTGATTCATAACCCGGATGGAAATATTAGCAAAGCGGGAAAAAGTAAAATAAAAAAAGAGAAAAATAGTAGGCATGACCGTCGGATCAGAAGACGCATGGCGTCAATCAACGGTCACGATTTGAGATGACAAAATTTAATGGCAGTGCTCAAAAAACACACCTCTCCCACATGTCTCATCACTTCTCCTTCCTTTCTCCGCCATAGCCGCCAAAATTCCTACCGTTTCCGGCCGTTCTCCCGCCTCCGCAATTCGCTTTTGATGGATTTCAAGTCCAAATTCCGTTTCATACGACAGAGTGAAAGCTAAGGAGTTCGAGGAGGAAGAAGGACGGAACAGAAAAAGTGGTTTGATTTATGACACCACAATACAACCAAACCCCACACGAGTCCCAAGCAAAAAGTCCCAACTACTTATCTCTCTCTTTCTGGTGCTCTGTATCGTATAAGCACGTACACGAACTTGCGCGCGCGGCACTCTCTCTTTCTTTCTCTGAAGGAAGCTCACTTTCTTTGTTTCTTTTCCTCTTATACTTCACTTTGCAGTTTCGATTGTTCTGTTTTTGTTCGATGAGAGACGGTGATTGTGGCTACCGGTCTGGTAATTGAGACCTCCGGAATGACCGACAGCAACTCTGTTGCGAAGACCTTCCGAGCTCTGGTGGAGAGCGCCGACCGGAAATTTGCTAGGGTCCAAGACGTCCCGGCTTACGGCCGTGTGGACAACCACCACTATTTTCATAAGGTTTTCAAGGCATATATGCGTCTATGGAAGTTCCAGCAGGAATTCCGCGCCAAGCTTGTTGAATCTGGTCTCAACCGCTCTGAAATTGGCGAGATCGCTAGTCGGATAGGTCAGCTTTACTTTGGGCATTATATGAGAACCAGTGAGGCCAGGTTCTTGATTGAAGCCTATGTGTTCTACGAAGCGATTCTTAATCGAAACTATTTTGAGGAATCGAAGAATTCGAGGAAGGATCTGGGAGCGAGGTTCAAACAGCTGAGGTTTTACGCGAGGTTTTTGCTGGTTTCGTTGCTTTTGAATCGCACGCACACGGTTCAGGTTCTCGCCGAGAGATTGAAGGCTCTGGTGGACGATAGCAAGGTCGCTTTTCGGGTAACTTCTATTTTGCACAATAATTATAACTGAATTTTGGATTATGTCAAATATTTTCAGTTTGCTGATGGACCTTTTTGACGGCCTGTTTATTTTTGGAGCTCATTTTTTTTTTCACGATCCAGCTTATTTTTCTAATTTTGGCTTTTGATTCAATGCTGTCTAGACCTTGTGTAGCTTAGATTTTTCTGTTGTCTTTCTTTCTTTACCATAATTTTAATTAATATTTTAAAATTCGATTGCCTTTTCTTTGAATTGAAGAGCAAGTTTATGTTTGTTTCCATTCATTTGGTTTCTTCTCAGCTGCCCAACCTAACATAGTAAAGAAACATTTATAATATGCTTGCACTGTTTGTCATGTTTGTGTCCCGGAAATAGTTTATCTGAAAGGGCTCTATCAAGAAATTCGCAACAAATGCGAACAGTGGAGGAGTAATTTTTCCTTTTACTTTTTTTTTTCTTCTTTTTGCTGGCTTGTAAGCAACTTTGAATTGAACTTACCAATATAAGATATTTGGGAGATTTTCTAATTATGTCTGTTGAGATCAGTATGAGGTCTCCATATAATTATTCGAATCACGGTTGATTTGTTGTGTTTAACATTTATCCAGATCTCGTGCTTTAGGTTTTTTTTTTTTTCAAATTAAACATGGTATTGTTCAATCTTTGAAGAATGAAAATGATTTGGACACCCATGCTTGATCCAATAAATGAACTCCTTTTTTATTTCACTTTGTCTGCTTAGAAAGTATCGATATCTTCTTCACTTAGAAAGTGTTACAAGGATATCACTGCAGCTTTTAACTGCATAACTGAGGCACGCTAACTATTGCTTCTAGGGCACTGACTTTAAAGAATGGCGGCTAGTTGTACAAGAAATTTTCTGCTTCATGAAAGTAGCAACAATCTCAATGAATGTCAGACCTCTGCGTTACTCTGCTTCATTTGATTCCCATCAGTTATCCCTTCCATTTGTAGCTCGTTTCCATGCAAAGAGGGTTCTTAAATTCCGAGATGCTGTTTTGACAAGCTACCACCGAAATGAGGTGAGTTAACTAGATATTATTTTTTTGTCTGTCGCAAGAGTAAATATAAATCTTGAATGAGAAGAATGTTTATAGATTTAACTGATTTCATGCACTACTACTTTCAGGTTAAATTTGCAGAAATTACTTTAGACACGTATAGAATGCTACAATGTCTCGAATGGGAGCCTGGTTTCTTCTACCAAAAGCATCCAGTTGAACCAAATGAAAATGGTGCTACCATTGATCATTCTGGGGCTTCTGGTATAATTGATATTAATTTAGCTACCGATATGACTGATCCATCTTTACCTCCAAATCCAAAGAAAGCTATCCTCTATCGGCCTTCTGTGACTCATTTGATAGCTGTAAGTTTTTATTTATTCATGAAATTGTTACTGCTTCAGTTGGATGGTAGAGTTTTTAATTTATTCAACTTTTGGCCTTGTTTTTGTTTTCTTAGAGAAGAGAAACAGATTTTATTGATGAATGAAATTAAGGGAGGTAAACCCCCAACCCCCCCNCCCCCCTCCAAAATACAAGCAAAATTACAAGAAAGAAGTCCAATTAGAGAGGGAAATAGAAAGACTATGATTACTTAAGGGGTGTTTACATTTACACCAATAAAAAGTGTTGAACAAGACCAAATCCATTAAACCAACAAAGTTTAAAGAAACATGTCTGAAAACTGAAGCAAGAAGATCGAAAATAGTTTTCCAGTGAATGTTAAGTTGGCCAATTTCTGTATTTTATTTCCTAAGATCCTCTTATCTCAAAATATTTTCTCGTTATTCTTCTGAATTGTTTGTGGGTATATGCCCAATATCTTGTTACATATTATATGATGCCCTGAAGCTCTGTATTCGTTCTGCTTGCACTTATTATCTTGGATTTGCTTCCCATGATCTAATAAGGATAGGAACTTACGCATGCTTTACTGAAGCAAAAGAAAATCAGAAGGTTGATAGCATCGAGAGAGGGATCTTTCTCCACAGTTCTGTACCCAAATATGTACCAACCTTTCCCACTTTCTTCTAATACTAAACGCTACTGAACTCATAATGTGCCTCATAACTACCCATATAACAACTAGCTAAATTCCAATTCCTATAACCACCCACTGTCCAAAATTAACTTGTGCTCAAGGTGATGGATTCAAAATTAAGATATGTCATATCTTCTCATAATGACTTTTGTGTCTTATAGCTATTCAACATCAGAGGGAGAAATCACCACTTTTTTGTGAGAAAATTCTGCTTCGATGGTTGTTGGTGCTGGAGCCTGTGAGGGGAATTATCAACAGCTCCTCTAGTGCGCACTCCATATTTCTCAGTCATCTTCACACTTTTGGAGGTACCCAAGAACAGTGTCTCAGCCAGTGTTTCTCCTCTAGCTTCCCATAGTCAGTATTGCATTCAGCCCCAAACTTTTCTCCTTAGCTATTCCATACTACCTAAAATCTTCATCCTAAACTCCAATGCTTATCACCACCCCCTGCCTATATATTACCTTGTCCTCTAGGTAATAAATAAGAACTAGGACATGCCCATCTCCTCTTAGTGACCATTGTGACTTCAGGTATCCATAGTAAGAGATACAAAGCACCCCTTTTTTTTTGGTATATAAGTCTTCGCTAGTCATACTACTTTAGCCCCTCTAACGTCACTGTTATAATGCTTGACATGGAAAGGTTGATATGATAGCAGTGACCTCTACGTTCAAAGCAAGTATTCCAGCTTCACTCTTGCTTTTCTCTATCATCTTCACAACTTCCGAAGGTAACCTCCCATGCACAGTGCTTAGGCTGCGCATCTTCTCTAGGTTCCCATCTCCATTCGAAGCTTCCTCTTCCCTCTCTATCAAATCCATGTTTGAAAGTGGAATTTGGCCTTTTATTCTATGGTTTTTTTGGGCTTGATGCAGTCACACTCTCAGCCCACTCATGAAATTTAGTGCCCAGAACCTCTCAAGCTCATGTAGTAGCATTCTCAACTATCAACCTTTTTCTTCTTATCGATTGTGTTCTATTCTATTTGTAGCCAATGCCAACAATTTTTCTACTCACTGGTTATCGAAATCTACCTTCAAACCCTAATTTTCTGTTTGCGGTAAAACCACTCCTTTGGAATTTTGTCTACCAAGATTGACCATATCTTCTTCTATGCTCCCACCACTTTCTATTTATGAAAAATAGGCACTAGGTACGGCTTTCATTTGTTCAAGATTGGTTTGATCTTTTCGTGCTACCTTCACTGTTGTTACGGGGCCTTATTGAATTGTGCCACCGTCCTTCAATGTGGATTGTGAGCCCCTTGGTCTTCAAGTTTCTTCATTCCTCACCGAGTGTTCCAAGATCTAGATTTCCATCCACCAATGGATTTTAAAGCTCGAGACACATTAAAGCAGAATAGCACTCTGGGGCTTAAGCGTGGGTTTTTTTTTTTTTTTTGTGATGCACACAGTTGAAAAATGTTGATAAATTTTATGTATATGAAGAAAAATACTACTACAAATAATAAGATGATGAAAACTTTAAGAAAACAGAGATTTTATTTTAGGGGAAAAGGATTATTTTGTAAAAGAGTATTCGTTTGTGCCTTTTCCCTTACAAGTTAGACAACTTCAAAAAATAGTGGAAGTAAAGCGCTGAGCGGCACACCACAAAGTATTGAGGCATGTGCTTCATCAAGGGAGCCTCACTTTTTTAAGCAAGGTGCAGAGACTGTGCCTTGGGCCTAGGCGTGCACCTCAGTGAGCTTTTTAAAATGTCCAAATATTTGCCTACTTCACTAATCTAAAACCAATGTTAATCAACAGTTCCCTCTAATAGACACTATCTATCCCTTATACAATATCGATGTAGTAACCCACCCCTGTACCAATCAAACTCACCAATGACTATGAAATAGTTGATACTCACTATCTACCTTTAGGAGAATTGCAAAAGAAAATTTTTGAGTTTAGTTCTGTACCTAGTTAATTAAAATTATCAAGTAGGTCATTTCTGAACCGAAACAATGTTTTTGTTATGAGAATGCCTACTCTGCATCGTGTTTTTTGCCAGATGGTGTGTGTGGTTGCTCTGCCCGCTTTTTTATTTTTATTTTTTGTTGCATTTGTATGATAAGAACTTTCAATTGAGCTTCTTGGCTTGTGATCAGGTCATGGCTACAGTTTGTGAGGAGCTCCTTCCAGATAGTATCATGCTGATTTATCTATCTGCAGCAGGTTAATGTCCTATAATTGATGATTCAAGTGAACTGATCTCATTTTATATTTTACTATTATTTATTGGCACTCATTGACAAAATGTGCAGGAAAATGTTGTCAAAACAGTGTCAATCAAATGGCAAGTTATGGGGAATCAAGAAAATCCGTGAGAAGTAAAGTCATCACCCAGAACTCACGAGAAAATTGTAATGCTTTGCCTGAATCTTGTAAGAGTGAGAAGCGAGGATCAAGTGACCTATATGATGAGTATTTGTGGTTTGGGCATAGGAGTAATGGAGGTACAGTCCTGCCATACTCTCTCTCGATCGTCTTTTCTGTTGAGTTATGTGGATACTTCATTTCAACATTTTGTTGTTTCCATTTTCATTGATGCCTTAGAATTCTTCTTATTCTTCTTCTCCTTTTTCTCTCTCTAAATTTTCAGGTCCAAACGTTCTATACCCTGGTGATATAATTCCCTTTACACGTAGACCTGTTTTTCTGATAGTTGACAGTAACAACAGCCATGCATTCAAGGCAGGTTTGTCAAAACTTTTACATGTGTTGCCAGGTCATCATGGTTTGCTTCACACTGCTATTTTGAAAATGAAATAGGTGGATATTTCTGGTTTTTCTCCAGTATCATCATATCTGCTCTATATACGTGATTATCACGGCTTTGAGCATGACATGAGATAGTTATGACCATCAGATGCATTAAATTGATCTGCTTTCCTTGTATAAAAGGACAGGTGTTGAAGCCAACTATTGCTTCCAACTTTCATGTTGCACTTTCAGTATGAATCTTTTCATGTACGCAAAATTGCCAGTTCACCAGTATCTTACTGACAGTTTCATGTTGATGGACCTGTCTGGTCTAGAGTGAATTTAATTGGTTTTTAGAGATACAATGCTTCAAGAAGTCACTTAAATCCGTCAATTTTTCTATGCTTCAAGAATTTAATTCTATTTGACCAACCACAAGTCTCAGAGGACTATCTCAGAATTCACTTCGTTTAGTATTCCTAAATCTTACATATTAAGTGCGATACCTTGTTCTGTTGTTACTCTCAAGTCAATCTGACTGCTAACGTGGAAACGATATTTGGTTTTCAGGTTCTACATGGTGCAGAGAGAGGAGAGACTGCCGCCATACTTCTATCACCTTTGAGGCCTGCATTCAAGAATCCCTTAAATGTTGATACGATTCAATCCGGAAGTCAGTTCACTTTTTTCTTGACTGCCCCTCTTCCTGCATTTTTTGAAATGGTTGGCCTGTCCTCGGCCAATATGGATACAGTAAGTTCATTATTACAGTCAAAACTCCTCTTCAAATATTTTCAGGACTTCCGTTTAATCCACAACTTGTTATTATTTATAGGATGTTTACAATGATGCTGAAACCATAGTCTCCTCCGCATTTTCGGAGTGGGAAACAGTTCTTTGTACATCAACTAGCTTGAATATCGTTTGGGCCCAAGTTTTGTCTGATAATTTTTTACGCCGTCTCATTCTCAGGTATTTTCCAGTCAACTTGCTCACGTTATTTATGCAAATATTATATGTACCCAAAGCATCTTTTTTATGGAAGCGTGAATCATGTGGAATGCTCTAGCCATGGAAAGAAGTCACAATTATCTTTCTTTTGTTCCATAATCTGCAGATTTATATTCTGTCGATCCGTGCTATCCTTCTTCAGTACTAAAGAAGATGATGATCTTCCTATTTGTCTGCCTTGTCTCCCCGATTCTGTTGCTTCTAAGTCTGGAGTTGTCTGCTCAGCAATTTGCCGTCTCGCAAAGCACCTTAACGTTGCAGACTTATTTAACTTCCATGAAGTATGATCACGATCTAGATATTGCGAAAACAAATTTGAGTTCATAGTCTTCCTCAAAGGTCAGTTCACAACCGAAACATTACACCATTGACCTCTTGAGAGTTGCAGTAGGACCACAAATTGGTATTTGTTCTGAAGCTAAAATTTATGAAACACTGGTAGTGTGATGGTGGTTGCCTTCCATTTTAATGTTTATGAGCAACCTGTTGTGGGCTTACTGTTTAGTTAGATGAGAATGTGATAATTTATTGTAGGTTTCTATTGAGTCTTGAAGATTCATTTAGTTCCCTCTTATTTTTTGGGCCAATTTTTCTTTCATTTCTGTGTGGAAAAAAAGTGGGGAAAAGAAATTGAAGCAGAGAAATGAAACAAGTTACTTGTAGATGCTGGCAAATGGGGGAGTGTACAATCGCTTCTAGGACGCTTATTACAAAAGTGTCAAATCATGAGAAGTCTGACTTCATCTTTGTAACTTGAGTCTGTTCATTATTGGAGTGTTATAAGAAAGCATTTTCGAAGTTCAGGAAGCTGTTCATGTTGCCTAAGATTAAATCATGCCCAAGTTGGACTCATCTTTAAGTGCTATGAAGTCTTTTTTTTTTATTTTTTTGATTTCTATAGGCATGTTAGATACAAGGGGGAATTGACATTTTTACCATTTCATAAACAAATATGAATTAATTAAAATGACTCTTTTTAGAGTTCAAGTTAAGTTAGATGTCATGCAAATTGAACAGGAATGTCATGAGCAGAGGATATGCATGACACGTGTCCCCTTGAGTGTCCAGCCATAGCGTCAACACTAACCTATCAATAAAGGCAGATCAAAGGGTGGTCGAGACCAAGATCGAGGGGTAGGAGTTGTATTTAGTTTTCGATCAAAATTCTTCTCCTCTCGTTTGTCTCGTGGCTTAGTCTTTTGTGTTAACTTGGAACTTTTGTGCTACATTGAGTATTTTTTTTTATAGTTGTTTCGCCCCTAACGTCTCTTACAACTAGACCTTTTGGTCACAATTAATTAGTCACAAAATTCGTCATTCATTTTAACAACAAAAGTTTAGAAAGATAGATATATATTTTGAAGGCCAAAATAAAATGAGCAAAAATGTTGGAAATATGTGTTAAGAAAAGAACCCAAATTGGATAAAATCCTGTATGGCGCCCATTTGAAAGTTCTATTTTTTGCAATTCCCGTATATCTCCCAACAGAATAAACAAAACTCCAATTTTCCAATCTTTTATGTTTGACAACTTCAAAATCCAAAGACCCCTTGAAATTGGGTAAAACTTCATATTTAACGGTTTGATTCTATAACCTCTCAAACAGAAGGAAAAAAAAAAAAAAAAAAAAAGATAAATGCCACAGATTTATCGCAATTCCGACCAATCGGAAACGAGAATTGCATTCTCTCGATCCTCGTCTTCCTTCTAAAGGTCACATCCAGGCCGTTCACTCTACTCGAGAAAACACAACTCGCGCCATCATTTACCGTTAGATTCGTACACCGAAAAAACACACGGATATGCTTTCTTAACCGTCCGATCTCAGATTCTATCTTCCAGTGCGACCCTATAAATAAGCCCTAACTGCTCTTGTTGTCAAACTTTTTAGCTTCTTTGACATTGAGAGATCTGCTCAAGAAAGAGAAGAAGCAGCGCCAAGCGACACGAGGTATGCCTGATTTTATTTTTTTGTTTTCTTTCGCCATTTTTTGATTTTTGTTTGCTACTGGGGAATTGTTTAGGGCTTTAGACTTCATTTTAGGGTTTTCTTCTTTAGAGTTGGTGCATCGTTGCTGGATTTTTCTATTTTCGTTGATGATTCATATCCTTGTTCGGCGTTCTCCGCTCTTGATTGTGTTTCCAGACCTAGGCTTGAGAAATTGGAATACTAAGAGTTCCCTTGGGTTTTAGGTTTCTCATACGTTAACAACTTTCCCTGATTTGTGATCTCTTTTAGGTTTCGTGATCTTTGTTTCTGGAAGTTTGTGAGAACATGGGAATCTGGTATTTGTTAGGAAATGGGATTAGCTATCAATTAGATGTGACGAATTAGTTTTTAGCGTTGTGTAATCTTATGTGGGCGCTTAAATTAAAGCATTTGCTTGACCTGAATTTGAGTATGGTACGGTTTAATTGTGAATAAATCGGAAGTGGGGTTTATTTTCCGCAGATGGCTCGTACCAAGCAAACTGCCCGTAAGTCTACTGGAGGAAAGGCTCCCAGGAAGCAGCTGGCCACAAAGGTTTGTTCATTTTTCAGAAGTTCGATTCCGTGGGTGAATTTGGTTGATTACTCAATTCTATGGACGTTCTAATGTGGTTATGTTTTTGGAACTGTAGGCAGCACGTAAGTCCGCCCCAACCACAGGAGGGGTGAAGAAGCCTCACAGATACCGACCTGGTACTGTTGCTCTTCGGTGAGTTCACGTGGCCTTTATCTCCCATGTTTTCCCATCTTGAATTTGCTGTATGTGTTTTGTAACTTTCGATTACGTTTTGATGCGCAGTGAAATTCGCAAGTACCAGAAGAGTACTGAGCTTTTGATTAGGAAGTTGCCGTTCCAGAGGTTGGTTCGTGAAATTGCACAGGACTTCAAGGTATTTTCTTATGTCTGTTAACTTATTTCATCTCCTGCTTGTAGATTTTGCCGAGGTTTGTGTAATTTAGGTCTTGCGTTAAATTCTATTGGTGCAGACTGATCTGCGTTTCCAGAGCCATGCTGTTCTTGCTTTGCAAGAGGCCGCCGAGGCCTACCTTGTTGGGTTGTTCGAGGACACCAATCTGTGCGCCATTCATGCCAAGCGTGTTACCATAATGCCCAAAGATATCCAGTTGGCTCGGAGAATCCGAGGTGAACGTGCATAGAAGATGGTGGATGGTATTGGCTGCAAGGAGGTGATCAAAGGCCTAATTGATGTGATGATATGGATATGGATGGATGGATGGTTCTTACTTTTGTTTTAAGCAACGTCGGTAGATAGCAATACTAGGAAACTTGTAGTGAATATGTGGTAAAATGGCATAATGCTTTGCTTGTGCATGTTGATGTTTAGCTGTGGATGATTTTGTTTTTAGTTTTTTCAAAAGATGGAGTTGGATTCTGTATTTCATTGAATTGTGTACTTCGGGCATGCAGCCAAACTAATATCGTCGGTTTAACCTATCACATCTAATCTGTAGTTCAGGTTTCTAAGTTCCAGTTCAATTTTTCTATCTGTAGTGCTTTGAACGGATATTGAATTCCTATTGCGACTCCTAGAAAATTTTTCATGCGCTTGGTATACAAACTCTCTATCACGGATCTGGTCCGAAGTTGTCGAGCCATTAATTTTAACAAAGCAACCCTCTATTTGGATTGATAACTAATGAACAACTGTTCTTGTTGTCCTTACATTGTTGCCTCATTCATTCCTCATTATTAATGTGGGACTATCAACAAAGCAACCCTCTAGAATCTCTTACCTTGTACAAGTAGAGATTTACCATGATGATTAACGAAGCAGTAATGTGAGTCTTTATATTAGTATTTGAGGTTCTGTCCAAATCTAGAAAACAAAGTACGTGCGGGGAGGTTGAAGGTGAAGTGTGTGGAGTGCTCACGTAGTTGAGGGGTACAATGCATGTGAGGTTGGTTTATTGTCTCGAGATAGTTATATGAGCTTTGTTCCCATTGTAGGATGAATTATTATAAAATAAATTGTTTATACCTAAAAGAAAACAACCCAATAAAGACTAATTAATAATGCCTTAGAAGAGGTAAATTGGATTAAAGAGAATGATGAGACAAATATAACCAAATCTTCCAACTTCCTTTTCACTTAATTATCCAGAATTAAGTGTCAAGTTCACATCCATGCATATTTCATAATAAAATTTATGAACGAAACATGTTTGAGAGCTTGAGAGTTTTTTCTTTCTCAATAACGTTCTAATTCAATTACTTGTGTCTACTAATGACAATCTTACGTACCATATTATATAAAGAAAGTTTTTATGATTGAACCACTGAAAAGACTGCTCTCATTTGATTGTGATTTTTGGTTCATTCATGTATCTCTTCTTTACTCGAGTGTCACATTCTAACCGAGACTATTTATGAGATTTTATTAAACTATACGACTAAATTCCACAAAATTTATATTTTAATACAACATTGAAACACCTGCTAAATTAAGAAAACATATATTTTAAGGATATCATTATTTATTACTTAAACTAAGAATTAAACAAATAATTAACCAAAAAAAAAAAAAGGCCAATTGACAACGTCAAATCCAATTCCTAATTAACTTCGTCCTTCCTTTGCCTCTCTCTCTCTCTCTCTCTCATTTTATTTTTTATTTTTTTATTTTTTAGAATCGACAAAGATTGAAAGCCCAATAATTAGTTTACTGGAACAACCGCCAACTTCGGATTTTCCTTCATTCTCAAACCTATTTTCTTCTTCCAATCTTTGCTCAAATCTCCAAATTCACAAACCAACACACATATCTTCAATCCCTTTCACTTTTGTAGCTGTTCTTCTTTGAATGGAATTGCGTGTTCTTTTAACTACTTCGATTCTGTAAGTTTCCTTTTCTCTTCCCCTCCTAGTTTTCTCCCATTGACCATTTCTCTTTCCTACAAATTTCCTGTTCTTCGATTTAGATTCTCCATTTCTTTTGATTCTATTGAAATTTTGATTTCTTGAGGAAATGGGTTTTGTTCTGTTTTGTGTTTTGCTGCCAAATTCGCAGAGAAGTTGATCAGAGTTTCTGAGATGCATCAACAAATGGAGAAGACTGATGAGAAAACTCGTGTGGCAGAGGAAGAACAAAATGGTTCATCCGAGCTTAATGATCCGCTTGAAGAGATGAAGAAAATGGCGGACGAGACCAATACAAAGCTCAGGTCTGAGTTGGAATCTGTGAAGAGCAAAAGAGATTCTGCCATGGAAAAGGCTAAGGAATTGGAGCTTCAATTGGCAGAGAAGAGTTCTAATATGGCAAAGCAAAAAGAGGAGCTCTCTGTTTTGAAACGTTTCGAATCGCAAACCCAAACAAGAATCCAAGAACTCGAAAAAAAGTACCAAAATTCGAAAGAATCAGAAGAGAAAACCAAGGAATTATTAGCAGAACAAACAAAGCGCCTCGAACAGACAAAGATTTCCCTGGAAGAATCGAAGATAGAGATCCTATCTCTTCATGAAAAACTTGTGAAATTCTCTACCGAAACCCATTTCAACGAACTCCCGACGCACAACATTCCAACAAAAAATGAATTCGAACGCCTAAAATTCGAGCTCCAATCGACAAGACACCAACTTGGTGTCCTAAAAAACGAGCTAAAAGTAACCACAGAGGCTGAGGAGAACAACAAAACAGCCATGGACGATCTAGCAATGGCATTAAAAGAGGTAGCAACAGAAGCCCATCATTTGAAAAGGAAATGCAGCACAACCGAAAAGGAATTACAGAAAACAAAAGAAGAAGCAGATAATTTGAAAGCGACATTAAAAAACACAGAGGAAAAGTACAAATCTTTGCTACAAGAGGCAAGAAGAGAGGCAGATTTGTACAAGAGCACTGTGGATAGACTGAGATTGGAAGCAGAGGAGTCTCTGTTGGCATGGAGTGGAAGAGAAACAAGCTTAGTAGACTGCATAAGAAGAGCCGAAGACGACAGATTCAATGCTCAACAAGAGAATCGCCGTTTGATGGATACTCTGAGGCTAGCAGAATTGAAGAACATGACATCAAAAGAAGAGATAAAGAAATTAAGGGACATTCTAAAACAGGCCTTGAACGAAGCCACAGTGGCCAAGGAAGCTGCAGGAATCGCCATTGAAGAGAATTCACAGCTGAAAGACTCCTTAGCTGAGAAGGAGAACGCATTGGATTTCGTTAGCAGTGAGAATGAGACACTGAAAGTCAACAAAGCTGCAGCATTAGAGGAGATTAAGGAGCTAAAGCAGCTGCTAGAAGCAAGTAAGAGAGGAGAAAGCAATGGAAAAGAAGAAAACAAGGGGAAAGAAGAAAACAAGGGGAAAGAAGAAGGGAAGGAGCAGGTGGAGAAGGAGATAACGAGGTCGAGGCCACCGTTGAGTCCGAGTCCAAGCCTGACTCCACCGCCAGTAGAAAAGGAAGATACATTCGGGAGAAGGCTGGGGAAGGCTTTCAGTTTCAGTTTCTTGGAGCTGAGACTGACATCAGAGAAGAAGAAGGAGGTCGAAGAGGACGAGGGAGAGCCTCAAATGGAGGAGACGCTCAAAGGGTCAATTTTCGACGAGGTGGACTCGCCTGGTTCAGGGAGGGTGCACGAGAGGAAGCGATCATTGTCTCAGTTCGACGGTGATAGGGATATACTGAATGATGAGATTGAGGATCTTGAGCATTTGGAAGAGGGTAATTTGGATGGAGAAGAAGGGGATAGGAATTCAAGGAAGAAGAAGGCATTGATAAGGAGATTTGGGGATCTTTTGATGAGGAGGAGGAGTTTCCAGAAGAAGGAACAATCCCCAGAATGAACTTATGTCATCTTTCTTTCTGATGCATTTTTGCATTTGCAATTCTTAAATTCTTTTGTACTGTAAATTCATACAAGTAGCTTACATTGTGATTTATTTATGATTTTTTTTTTTTTTTTTTTTGGGGTCAAAGATGTCTTTATTCTCGAATGAAATGAGAATAGTTGGATATAGTTTTGGATTCAAAGGGTTTCTAATTTGAAACTCTCCAATGAAGTTGTAATTGTAGACATCCCTATTTGAAAACTCATCCTACGCATTGTGCAAATAATCGTTGACATTGCTGTTCTTAGATGGTTAAAACTATCATGTCCATAACATCAAAACATCAGAAGACTATCATCACTGGCATAATATACAAATTTCATACCTTAAAGAAGATGCTAACCACATGAGTTGAGCTCGAACTACAATTCATAACCAGGGAACCTCGACTCCTCGGGCTTACACAAATCGAACCAAAGGCAAGCAGTTCCAGCTAGACCATGAAAAAGAGAGTAAAGACGGTCACCTCCATTTTGGCTTTCGGCACCAACAAGCTTGCTAGCATTATGATACAAGTAGGTTCCAAATGCTCTGGCTCTTTCTTCATACTCGCTCTCTCCAGTAAGGCGATGAAGGGAAAGGAAGGCGTACGCGTTCCCAGAAACACCGTCTGCGAGTCCAACTTCCTTGACCAATCCATTTTTCCATACTACTTCCCCTGCTTCAATCGCAGCATCCCTAAATTCTCTGTCTTCATGGAAAACCTGAAATGTGAGTAAACGAGCTTCCATCAATTCAGTTACCTCCTTATGTATTCCAGGAATATAAAGCTTTCCAATACAGTTCATCAACTGATTCCTTATGAACAAGCCCAGATTGATATACATTATTAAATTAATCCAACCCTTTTCATTAACCCTTAATCAACATGCAACATGGTCTAAGCTGACCCATGAACTAGGTGAGCATTGAAATGGACCAAACCTGCGAAGCCTTGCAAAGGGTAATGCCTATGCCAGTTGCCCCATGAGACCATTGAACAAATTTGTCCCTGGGGTTTCCTTCACTTGAGGGGTAGTTGCCACAATGTGGAAACCTTTTGCTTATCAGATATCTAAACGTCCTCTTAACATCATCAGCATCCTCATTTGAAAGGGGGAAATGGAGAAGTACGTGCAAGATACCAGCTAGGCCGTTGGCTGCACCATAATATCTCGTCCCATGCCATCGGTACATCAGAGGGCAGTCTGGATTATCGGATGCGCCTACCCTTCCACCTGCTAATACAGCATCAACTATAGAGATGAGAAGATCATGAGGAAACTTCTGCTCTCCAAGATGCTTATTTATGAACAAGGCAGCCCATAAGAACCCAGCTCGCCCATAAAGGAGATCATATGACATTCCAAAACCTCCTTCCTCAGGTCCAATTGGGAGAGCTTTCTCTTGTGCAGCCTATAAAATGTTTCAAAATATTTTAGGCCATTGTTTGCAACATTATTAGACTTTGAACTGAAATCATATTGATGAAGAAAATCATGCTCGAATCTTTATATGCTTCCAAAAATGGTAATAATAAATTGTTTCTGATCAAGCAAATGGCTTTTTCTGGGAGGGAAAAAAAAAAGAAGTTATTAAATTGAGAAAAGAAGAGATGAGACCTGCAGAAAAAGATTGAAGAACATGTCGAGCCTTTGGGGATCCCCCATGTAATGAGATACCACGGCGCCAACAGCATACACTCCTACTCTACCACACAAAAACGTCAAGTGCCTGTGGAAAACAATATTTATTATTTAACATACAAAAATATATACACACACACATATATGTGGGCCCACCCTTTATTTTTTTTGTCTTCCGTTTCTAGATGGTGACACCTGTCAAATGTTGAGAAGATATTTATCTTCCTCAAAAATTATCACGTGTGCAATACAGCTTTGATGTTTGACAGTCTTTTAAAAAGATAATATTATATATATTTCTTCCTTCTTTTTTTTTTTTTTTTTTTTTGTTGGAAAATGAGACTATCAAAGACAATTCAATAATCAATATCTTATCAATTTTTAAATAATATTCTGTTTATCTGATCTTTTGGAGAATATCTTATTTTTTAATTATAAAGTGAGAATTTTGGCTAAAGAAAATGATTGTATTTTATCAGAATAACAGGCAAATTTTTTCTTAATAAAAGATTTCCACGAATATCAAATAAAATAACTGCAGGATAAGAAACATATTCCCCCAAATTATTTATTTACTAAAATACAATTTCCATGATTTTTCATCTTTTCTTCTTGGTTTCTTATTGTTCTAAAAAAATTAATTTAAATCCATAAATTCCAAAATTTCAACTAAAACTACCTCATCCTATATATATTATTTATTTATTAACTTCCCGTTCAGTTTCTTTTTCGTTAATTAGTATCACCGTACATAAAACAACTGACTTCTTAATAATAATCAATCATCATATATTATTTTTAAATATGAAAAAGGGAAAGCAAGATCACGTGATCACCTGTGCGAGGCACGTGTGGCAAGAGAACAGGTGTCGACGATATCGGAGCACAAGTGCAAGTCCGGAAGGCTACCGGTGGCCTCGTACGACCTCAGGCAGGTTAACGCTGTTCCAAGGAGGCCAGTGTAGGCCGTCGGATCAACGCCGATGTTATCGTCACGACGTCGTTTCCAAGTGACCTCCACAACCTAACAAATTCAAGCACAGAGAGAAAAAAATTAGTTCCGTTCAGACACTGTTAGGGCACAGTGTTGTAATCTACATCGATTTCGCGAGTTCCGGTAGGGTAGAAGAAAAGAAGGAACCAACCTGATTCTTCAAAGAAACGGCCGTAGAGAGAAATAACTCACGAGGAAGCAGAAGCCTCTTGACCGGAATCAAATCCAGCTGTTCGGTCATTTCTCCTCCTCCTTCTCGCTCCTCTTGCGACGACGCGAACTCCATCGCTGACGACATTCTGGAAATCTGCTTTTCTCGAAGAAACTTTTGTAGCAGAGAGATTGAGAATGAGAGACTACGGGAATCAATGGCGGTTTGAAGAGGTCGAATCTGTGGATTTCGATTCTCTGTCTGCCACTACCGCTATTTAGTTTTATCTGTTTCTTACACGCGAATAGTATTTTTTATTTTTTATTTTCCTTTTAACCTTTTTACTCTCTGTAACTTTACGAAATGTGAACAATGAACCCTAAGCATAATTTTATCTTTTAAAAGGATTTATATTTTTTTTCTTATGGTTTCATGATTTACCTTTTAATTTAATCTCCCAAAAAATTCAAGATTTATACGAGTGGCATTATCTTCCAAAATTTATCTTTTTATCAAGCTAGAAAAAATATATTTCATAATTATATTAAACCAAAAAATTCATAAACTAGCTTTTGGTTAAATTGGTAAGATAAATTCATTATTAATAAATAAAAGAACAATAAATTTAAAAGGTTCTTTATTTAATTATTCCATTGCAATTATTTAATTTATTAAAATATATACATAAAACTGCCACCATTGATTATTATAAGGAATTAGGTTCGTGAGAATCTAACCAATCCAAGCTACCTAACACAACTTACTTTTAAGATTACTATGAAAATAAGAATATTCGATTTTTCCAACGGTTGTTAGTGATGTGTTGCGACTCTTGAATATCTGAATTTTATGAGATTTTAATTATTAATATAATATGTAGTTGTATCCACTCAAACTATTTTATGAAAATTTGATAGCATTTTTATAAAATAAATAAATAAAACCACTCCTAGCCATTCTATTATAAGTTATTTAACATCATAAATAAGGGCATCTTGACCAAAAAATAAATAAATTTGGAAGAGAAATATATGTTCAATTAAGGAATATGTTCACTAAAAAGGAATATATTACTTATTTTTCGTTGAGGGCATTTTGACCAAAAAAAAATTGATGTGCTGAGTATCTTTCAATTAATATTTTAAATAAACCATAATGCTTTAATTATAACGAGAATAAGGAAGACATTAGAGGGAATAAGTTTAAATCATGGTGGCACCAATAATAAGGTTTAATATCTTACACGTATGCTAGACAACCTGTTATTCAATCGGAGTGCAGCCTAAGATTACTGTAAATTTCACAAACAAAAAAACTTAAATATCAATTATTAACCGAGAAGAATAGGTTCAACTTGAAAGAAAAAATTAAATCACAGTTACTTGTCTTACAAGTTTTCAAACATCACTCTAGATGTTATAAACTTGTCTTAACTACACAAAGTTACTACCCTAGAAATTCAAGGTTGTTAGGAACTAAATCATTTGAACTTTTAGTAATCTCTCATCCTCCTCGAATAGCATAATTATCACAGTTAAATGACAAACCAAGTCCAAACCTTACGTTTATCATCCTCTACATGTTTATTAATAGATGGAAATTTGATTGTACCCCTACATTATCAACAAGTCTCTATCACTTCTAATAAGCCACTCCCACCGACTATTCTTCCTTTCTCTACATTCCCATAGGTTCCTGCATTTTTCTTTTGTCACTTCTAAAATATGTGGTTCCCAACACTCTTCGTCTAATAATCACATGTTTACTCTATCACTCTCTCCAGTAAGATCCTTCCTACACAATATATGATATGATAGGCAGACGACCAAATCAACAACTTGAAGCAGCGCCCACAACAACATCATAAATACAGAACAACCCACCTTTACTGTCTACCTTTTCCATTCAGTCCCATGGTACCTCTATCCTAGCCCACAACATCATAAGGTACCTCTATCCTAGCCATGTTGCATTTTTTTTTTTTTTTTTTTTTTTTTTTTTTTTTTTTTTTTTTTTTTTTTTTTTTTTTTTTTTTTTTTTTTTTTTTTTTTTGAGTTTAACTATCAAAGGGGATGAGTGATTGAACCTTTGGCAAGTTGGTTGAGAACATATGCTTTAACCAATTGAGTTGTGCTCCATTTGACCGGTATGTTTAACCTGCTAGAAGAAATATGAAACAATTATTACATTATTTTTGTGGTTACGGGTCTAAGTGGTAGCATATCAAACCCTTCTTTTTCACTAACCGGAGGAATCCCATGTTAGAGAAGGTGGAAAAAAAAAAAAAACAAAAAACAAAAGCAATTCCTCCTAGAATCCTTGCGTCCGAGTGAAAGCTATATGATCATAACCACTAGTTGTGAAGAGCCGCAATTCAGTGAGATTTTTGTTGTCTACAATGATAATAGAGAGGGGTATTTTGATGAGGATCCTAGCTCAGATTCCATAAGCTTCCAGCTCTTTTGACTCCTCATTGGCAGAATTCTGCCTTTGAGTTCTTGTTGGTTCTTGATCATGTCTCTGTTTACTTTTCAACAGCTTCTCTTTTTCACCTATTGCAATAATCAGCTCAAGTTGCTTTTGCTGCTGCTCCTACAAATGAACTCATTGCAGAGATTACGATCAGTTTTTAACCAACTTCGTCGTTTAACCCTACTCTTAAAAGATAGTACATGATCGACACATCAACGTCGAAATCAAACTGATTTTCATGGAAGACTAACTTCATAATCTGCTTCTGATATAGATTCCGTAATTAAATTAGTACAAAGAAAAAAAATTAAGAATCCCTCATCGTCTATAGTCACCTATTACTTGTGAAATCGGTATATATAACACATTGAAACCAAGCAACCCTCATACTCTCTCATACATCCATCCAATATACAGCATATAAAGGGTATTAAATTTCAAATAACCAGAGTTTTGTTTATTGGCTTCAACAATCATTTTAACGTTTACCTGCATGGCCAGTAAGACCTTTTGAATTTCTAGGAGTTCTTTTTCAAGAACATCTTCTTGCACTGCCAAAGTTCGAGTGTCCTCAGAATTTCTTTGAGCTAAAGCTGCAGACTTTAATAGCGTACAAACAATTAGAGGTTTGTGGAAAAGCGTTAGTTCAAAGTTAGATTTCAAACTCTTTGTTAAAGCAAAATGGGCAAACACAAAAACATAAAAACAAATGAAAAACAAAACATACGTTGAAAAAGTAATCAAATAAGATTTACTTGAGAAGAAACGAAGTCAATTATATCAAAATTCTTCAACGAATCAAATTTAGTTCATCACTTTCTCTCAAGCTCTCTTTCTTTTCTTCCTTCTCCACGCATTTGTTTTGAACACACCAAAGACATCCTATTTCTTACAGGGGCCCAATGAAAACATCTATGCCATACATTCCATCTTATGAATCCATATATATGTACCCACAATTAATCCAGCTTAAAAAACTATATGTACGAACACTTGATTAAATATATGATCATGTACATGTATAATGTACGTAGAATTAGAACACGTTCAATTTTCGACAATGAGATGATGAGCTTATAGATTAATCTCCATTTCTCATTCTTGAGACTGTTAACTCACCACAATGCTTGAATCTTTACTGAATCTCTCAAAGTATACTAAATCGACAGGAACTCAGCATGATAAAAAATGCAGAAGACCAGTTATTATCCATCAAAGAAACATGATATGATTACCAATAAAGAGCACAAGCAAAAAAAAGAAAGTAGATAAGAATACCTCAGCAATTGAATCCCTCACAGTTTTTCGTGTGACCAAAAACCTTATGCCCAATTTCTCAAGCTTCCTAGACAAGACCCGAATCACAGTCGTTGAGCTCCTTAAATCCTCCTCTAATTTCTCAATCCTATCCAGCAAATTCACCTTCAACCCACCGCTCGCTTTTTCTCCACATACTCGTCTCCACTGCCGCCTTCGAATCCACGTATTAAGAACAACCGTAGCCACTAGTAAAGGAAACCCCCACACCAAACGCCTATCTCCTATCAACACCCAAAGCGCCTTCTTCGAACACCAACCCACAAAATTCACAACAAACCCAACCAAGAAAACAGCCGAAGCAAAGAGAGAAAACAATTCAGAGAACAAAAGAACCGACTCTAAATTGAAATCACCTCCTCTGTCGTCACTCTGCTCAATGTCTTCGGATTCAAAAACTCCAATGCCATAATGACAGTAACTCCGTAAGGAGCTTAAATTGTTAGGGTTTTGTAGCTTATGCGTATGAACGTGGAATTGATATAGGTTTGTGAGGAATCGAGATGCAATCGGGAGAGAGGAAGAAGTGCTGCATCTGGGAAGGGAGTTTGTGAAGCTACAAAACTTCAAACGGTTCGAACATCTGAAGAGATTTTGAGAAGACAACGACATTTGTGAAGAAATGGGGATGGGAATTTTTGTTTGTTGAAGATGTTTAATGGTTCCTCTCTGGAATGAAGATGGGTAGAAGCATCGGAACCATCGATAGAGATTTTTGTCGCTCAGATGCTTACAGTGGACCTCATAACAATTTTCAAACATGAGAGAGATGCGAGCGAGCTCGCCAAGTTGATCGATAAATTGTAAATAGATTAAAAAAGATGCGAAAAAAAGTCCGACCTGCCGGATTCGAACCAGCGACCTAAGGATGACTATTCGGAAATTTCAAACTACAGTCCTCCGCTCTACCAACTGAGCTAAGGTCGGTCGTTGTTTAATAATTCAAGATAAAATTTTAAAATATAATTTATTATAAAAGAAAATTTACAAAAGCGTCCGACCTGCCGGATTCGAACCAGCGACCTAAGGATGGCTATTTGGTATTTTCCAACTACAGTCCTCCGCTCTACCAACTGAGCTAAGGTCGGATTCTGTTCATTTTTAAAATAAATATTTAATAACATAATGAATAATTTAGATAAGTAATTAAAAACATATATCATTGGACAAATGTCTGAACATAGCTTTAATATGTTAATAATCTCTCGTAGGTGAGTAATATTCTTTATTTATATTTATTATAAAATTTCTTTATTTACTTATTTCACTATCATTGGCATTCTCACACATATACATCTTATGTATTTAGGTAAATTTGAGCATTTCAATAATAATAATGGTACTTCGAAAGTTTAATTGGAACAAAATTGATTTATGTACAATTTATAATATTTAAATATTTGATTGCAACAATTTCATAATTAAATGCAAGGGAGGGGGGAAATTGTCGCAATGGGTTACTATTTGATAACCTATGAAATAAAGGCACGTGTCGGAAGACACATCTTAAAAAGGGGTAAGGCCAAAAGGAATCTTTTCGAAATGCGTTAATATTTGGCCAGTAAATAAATGAGTACCTAAATATTGTTGAATTTCTTTTGTTTTTTTTTTAAAAGTAAAACAATAATATTATAATCTATATAATAAATAATAAATTTGATGGAAGTTTTTGATCCCGTACAAGTTCCTCTAAATTCAAATTTTCATGATTTATCATTTAAATCTCTATTAAATCACTAATTTTTGGTGGATCTATTTTCACATTTTATTCTTTGACCTAACCTAGAATGATGTTAAATTTCTGTGGAATTATTGTATACATTTTTGGATAATAAAAGTTTTCAAGAAAATTGTATCATGACAATATTATTTTATTAAAAAAATTTAAGAATATTCTCCTTAAATAGAGATTGTTTGTCGGAACCTCTGTTACAATGTTGAGCCACATAATTTAAATTATTAAATCATTAAATATGTATCTTTTAAATTAAAATATTTATATATTTATAATCACAATAATAATGACAAATAAATAAATAAATAAATAAATAACACGAGGCGATGACCTATCCTCAAAAAGTAGTTTTTGTGTAATCTGGACTCACCAAAAGGAGGCAAAATAATAATAATAATAATAAATAAAAAAAGAAAAGAAAAGAAACCAGTATTATTACCCACACTTCGTCCACTGAGCTTGCGTCCAGAACTAGCTCAAAGCTTTTGATGATGCTGCTATAAAAAGATCTACTCGGTTGCCATATCGGAAGAATTGCATTCCCAACGCGCAACCACTACCCAAAAGCATGTTCTCTCTCTTCCTCCTCCCTCTCTTCTTCCACTTCCCATCCGTTTCTCCGGCCAAACTCCGCCCCGAATACTACGCCGAGTCATGCCCTCACGCGGAATCCATCGTCCGGACTGTGATGCACAAAGCTCTGATCAGAGAGCCTCGAAGTGTTGCCTCTGTTATGCGCTTCCAATTTCACGATTGCTTTGTTAATGTAATCCTTCTTCAACTCTGTTTCTTTTCTTCTTGGATTTTGCCTTCTTTTTTTTTTTTTTTTTTTTTTTTTTTTTTTTTTTTTTTTTTTTTTTTTTTTTTTTTTTTTGCTTTTTCTGTTTGGCTTCTGAGAATCGGTGTTTCTTTGTTGTTTTTGGTTAATTCTTCAGGGCTGTGATGCTTCTATGTTGCTGGATGATACACCGACAATGCTTGGAGAGAAACTCTCTCTCTCGAACATTAATTCGCTTAGATCTTATGAAGTTGTTGATGAAGTGAAGGAGGCGTTGGAGAAGGCCTGTCCTGGAATCGTCTCGTGTGCAGATATCATTATCATGGCGTCTAGAGATGCCGTTGCTCTGGTAAGTAGTTCCTATTCTTCTGGCTCGGTTTGGATGAGAAGAAATTTCTTCGGAGATTTTTTCCCATGATTTTTATGTTGTTTGCTTGATTTTTCACTCTGAGTTTTTCTGTCAAATCCTCCATTGAAATGCACAAAACAGAACTAGTTTTCCACACATAAAGGGAAAAAAATTCCTCACTCTAAATTATAAATTATAAACTTAGTCCTGAAATGTAAAATTTCAACGCGGTCTTATAGTTTGGACTACTTTTCTGTAATCTTTGTAAACCTCAACCAAACATTTGCTGAATTAGTTTTGTCAAATCAGAGTGATTGGATTTATAAAAAGTTATTTGATACATTCTTTTAAGGAGGTAGTAGTAGCACGCTTTATAGGCTTGTCAATAAGGGTCGTAGAATTACAATTCAAACTACACACCATGACTTAGTTATAGCAATATCGATAAGAATTATATAGGTTTACAATACGAAGTGATTCATAAATTGTTTGAAAAAATTCAAGAGAGAAAATAGACACCTTGTACAGGATTGGTAACGCACCCAATCGCTTACTATTAAAGCAGAGATGGACAGTACTGCATAAACAAGTAACTTCCATGGTTTAAAGACTCCACCAGAATGGCTGCCACAAATTCATAACTGGCCCCCATCTGTCCAACTGCTTCGCCTCTTCTCAGTCCCAAAAACATTCATTATTCCTTTTTTTATAGATTAATTATTAGATGATGTTGCTAAAAAGTGACTAATTGTTTTGGGCAGTTGGATGTGAGAGAGAAATTATAAATGTGATTCCCTTTTGTATTTGTTTGTATTTGATAGTTATGAGATGCCTACACATTTTTGGATCTATATCTAACGATTATAAAGGTAGTCATACTTTGACAACCTCATCCAATACTTTCTCCTCATTATGATATCTCTTCGTGTATCATGTTTGTCTCCATTCAGACAGGCGGCCCCAACTGGACAGTGAGATTAGGCAGGCTGGACAGCTTAACAGCAAGCCAAGAGGACTCAAACCAGATCATGCCAAGTCCAAGAGCCAATGCAAGCTCTCTCATTGACCTCTTCAACAAATACAACTTATCTGTTAAAGATCTGGTTTCTCTTTCAGGTTCCCACTCCATCGGCCAAGGCCGATGTTTCTCCATCATGTTTCGGCTCTACAACCAGTCTGGTACTGGGAGGCCAGACCCGGCCATCGAGCCGGGCTTCAGAGAAGAGCTCTTTAAGCAATGCCCTCAAGGTGGGGACGAAAATGTAACAATGAACCTTGACTCTACACCTTATATTTTTGACAATCAGTACTTCAAGGACTTGGTTGGTGGGAGAGGGTTCTTGAATTCTGATGAAACTCTCTATACATTTGCTGCAACTAGAAGGTATGTGAGGTACTTCAGCAAAAACCAAAGCGCGTTTTTTAACGCATTCGTGGAGGGTATGCTGAAGATGGGTGACTTGCAGTCTGGCCGCCCAGGGGAGGTTAGAAGGAATTGTAGGGTAGTCAATGGCCAGTCTGTGATCATATAACATGGCCAGTCTGTGACCATAAAACATAGCCCCAACCGTATTATTAGCATGTATTATATCCTTTGAACTTGAAGGTTAAAATATCTATTATCTTACATTTATTAGGCGTCATCATTTGTAAGATAAAACATGTAAAAAAAATTATTTATACTAATTACCATGTTAAACATCGTCGGCTCTAATCCATCGGTCAGAGCCCAATAGTCCAATTTAATCCAACATCGGCCCATTAAGCCCACTGTCTAGCAGCCCAACCTAGAAGCTCTCTAGTCCAGCAGCCTTCACACAAAGCCCACGACCCAGTTCGTTCTGCAGCCTAAACCTATAGCCACACGATCTCAGCTCAAATCACGTGCGACTCGGCTCAGCTTGGACAACGCGCCACCCTCGGTCAACGATCAACCAATTGTGTGAGTGTGGTTGTGGCTATGTGAGATAATTGGACAAATTATTACATCAAACAATTTGATGAAAAGCTTACATTGTTCGGTTCTTGTTAGGATTTGGATCTTTTTGAAGCTATTATCTTTATGGTCATTAACATTAGGAACCCTACAACAGCGCTCGCCACTATTTCCATTGAGCTCAGGCAATTCAAATCTCTCTTCTCTGCGATTTTTCTCAAATGCCACATGATCGTCGGAGAGCAGGACACACCACCAACACCGTCATCTTTCCGGCAGCAGCTGCATCTGGTGGCTGGAAACTTAGTACTCATTTCGTCTTCCTCGTCGTCTTCAACGGCTAATAAATGAGGCGGAATGTCATTCTCCATTTCGTTTCGTTCCCATTCTTCAGCATCCATAGCCCACTCATTGGAATCAATCCCCGCCATTGCCAAAGCCTCTAAAGAAACCGACATGGTCATTAGAAACCCTCGTGGGTTCTGAAGAAGGATTAATATGGAAGGCTTGGGATATAAGTTCGAAGAGATACTTGGAAGAGTAATTGGGTTCGTTGAAGGTGATGATATTGGTATATATAAACATGGAATTTGAAGACGAGGACGTGGGTTTTGAAGAAGGAGGAATAAGTTCACGAGTTCCTTAAGAATCAAACATTAAAAAGTTGGTTCAAATTTGGGAACTAATAGAGGGTTTGAATGGTCGCGGATTTAAAGGATGATGTTCTCGTGAATGTAATTTGCCTATTTGAGCCAATTGGAGGATAGCATTGTTTGATATATGTTTCGGAAATATATTCCTGTGAAGTTATCAGGTCAATGTAGCAATATGATGATGGTTGGCGTATGATTACATGCATGACGTTAATTCTTGGATCCAAAAATTTTCAAAAATTTCTCATTTCAATGAGTTAAAAATTCATCGACAGATTTGATAACTATAAGCACCGACATTTAGATTTCTTTTTTTTTTTTTTTTTTTTTTTGGAAACCAAAAGGCATNTTTTTTTTTTTTTTTTTTTTTTTTTTTGGAACCAAAAGGCATGAGTACATTTGAAAGACTATATATAACTAAAATCTTTCATCTCAATTTCGAAATAAGCTGTCTATATTGAGACTCCTATTATTGCTTTTGGATTCTTTCTCTAGCCAATCACCCCTCACCCGTGTTGGAGGGATCTAGCTTGGAGAATTCTCATTCATGGGAAATCAAACTATCAGGCAACCTGCATTTCGGTTTCACAAGGGAGAGTTCTAGTTTTTTAAGGATTCCCAACAAGGATTAGTGAAATTATGGTTGCACGAAGATTGCCTTTCGAACGGACTACTATAGCCACAGTATGATGGCGAGAATCACATTGCTGTCAAGACAAACACCATTGTAAGAATCACATTGCTGTCATGACAAACACCATTGTAGTCACAAAAATATATGATAACCAAGTAGAAACTAAGTTCAAACCTCATCAGCCAAAATTTTATCTTACCTAAAAACTATATCAAAGTTAATAACTAAATTTACAATTTAAAATAAATAAGTTTAGAACCGACAAATAATAATAATATTATTATTATAACGTGACAAATGTAATGTCAAACATGAATATGATCACTCTATGGACTAGGTTGTATTACAAACTTCAGCCACCAGCACATAGCACATGTTAATTAAATAGAGAAAATTAAGATTACAAAAAATAAAAAAAAGCAAAAGCCAAGCCACTGAAATTTACAAACTAGGAAATGGCAAGGCAAGGATTTCATAATTGGTTAAGAAAATGCGTAAAGATGACCTCAATCAAACTCACTAACTAAAATTAATCATCATATATATGTTCTCATAGCTGAAGAGAATAGGTAGTTGAGTTTGGTACCTCATCTTCCACCAGACAACTGGATAGGTTCCTGTTTATATATGGAATCATCCCCCAACGCAAATCTTCTCAGTATTCTCTCAAAGTCTTGTTTGCGAGTCACCTCTAAATGCTGCCATTCTTCCCACCTCTCTGCTAGCCCCTCGCCTTCCAGCATCCGAGTGACCTGTGACATTGTCGGTCGGTCAACCGAAGATTGCTGTGTGCACAGTAGCGCGACTTGGGTCATCATTTCCACCTCTCTAATATCATAGTTATTCAGGTTTTCGTCGACAATAGCAGTGAGTCGCTTCTCCCTTACCAATTTTTTGACCTTTACAACAGAGATGAACTCGAAAATTAGCAGTGAAAATGAGCTATAAAGTTGGTGATTACTGGTCCTGATTCTTTTACCATAGACTTCAAGCCAAAATATATGTGTATGCATGTTTACCCAAAAATAGTAATACTAGCGCTAATTGAATTTCATAAAGAAAGAGATTCAAGTGGAGATCTTGCTTTTGACAAGATTTTCTTACATGGTCGAGCAGTAAAACATCATCTCCTTCCAAGCGTGATAAGTCCATTGCTCTTTTCCCTGTAACAAGTTCTAAAAGCATAATGCCATAGCCAAAAACATCAGTCTTTTCTGATGATTTTCCGGTGGATAAGTACTCCGGTGCTATGTGGCCAGCTGTCCCCCGAACTTGAGTCGTGACATTAGTCTTCCTAACATCAACCAACTTTGCTAGGCCAAAATCGCACACTACAGCTTCAAAATCATCATCAAGCAATACATTAGCAGCCTTAACATCTCGGTGAATAATCTTTGGATTGCAATGTTCATGAAGATATCCTAAACCACGAGCTGCACCCAATGCCACACGTTTTCGAGTAGGCCAATCTAGAATACGTTCCCCAGGCTTAATTTCTGGCATAGAAGAAAGTACTAAAAAAATTAGCTAATAAAAGTAGCAATTCTTTATCAGTAAGGCATCACAATAACAATTGGCTAAGGTCCATGTCGTGAATTAAATGAGTAACTTGCAGGCTGGGTATTCTGCAAGACTTCTTTGCATGCTTTTAAAATAAGAAACCAGCTTTCATTGAGAAATTCATTGAGAAGAGTAACAGTAAAGAGTAAAAATTTTTAAAAAAAATAATAATGATAAAGAACTAACAGACAAAATGGTAACAGCAGCAGTGTAATGAACAGAGCAATAGAAAAAGAAATTAACAGAGAAAATGCCTCAATACTCAAAAGACAAATCAGGGTTATGCAACAGTGATAGTTGAATCTAACAAGTTGAAATGATGTTCATACTTATACCGATCTTACTATGAAACTTCAAGCTCTAAGGGGAATGTGTTAGGCCGCAATTACCATCGAATATGCGAGAATGGCCAGAGGGGAATTACAAGGGTGAGAGGTTATTTAGAAACTTGGGCGTAAGATGGGAAGGATCACTAGGATCATGCAAAGATGGAATGCTAGGAAAGAAGGTTAGTCTAGTTATGGTTAGCGTCCGTGCATTTCTATATGTTTTCAGTCTAGTATGAGTGTTCTAGAGAGAGATACCAGCCCCCTCAAATTGGCTGGGTTTTTAGTCTTGCCCTAGGGCATCTCTTTCTCGGAATATCATTGTATTGTAAGGAAGGAACCTTACATATGGGTACCAAAACATCCCATCCTCGGAAAATTTGGCAAGATGGCACAGAAAAGGATAGAAGAGAGGTTGGATGTGGCAGATCACAAAAATGGTAGCATCAAAGAGAATGTTCAGAAGTTACTGGCAATAAAGCATAGCTTAGCATCGTTGACAGAGGAGATGGAACATATAGTCACTCAGGTGGATTTGCAGTAGAAGACCTCTAACAACGCCAGAAAGGTTTTAACCTCTTTTGCTAAGATGGCTCTATTCAGAGCGAGATCCTTAGCTTCAACCCTTGTTGAAGTATCAGGGCATAAACAGAAGGGATGGGAGGGAATCGGTGAAAATCAAAGTTGAATTCCAAGAAGGCGGAGGAGATGACCAGAGACAGGAGCAAGTTCAAGAAGATGGAGATTCTGGTGTTTGAATGAGAGGATCCCGATTCTTGGTTATTTCGAGGCGACGGGTATTTTTATATTCATAAGCTAACAGATTTTGAGAAATTGGTTGTCGGTAGCCTTAAATTGGTACTAGGGAAAGGAGGAAAGGGAGTCGTTCAAAGTTCGGAAGGACTTGAAGATACGATTGCTAGAAAGGTTTAGAACCTCTAATAAAATGGGAAATGTCTGTGCTCATTTTCTCGCAGTCAAACAGGAAATTATATTCCCTCTGCCCATATTTTAGAGAAAATTTTGCAAATTTCAGATCCAAAACAACCAAAAAACTGTTTACCTCGAAGATGGTAGGCAACACTCAAGTTCTGCATATAGGGATATACCAATAAGCGTTCGGTCTCAGTTGTACAGAACCCAATCAGCCGCAATAGATTTCTATGAACAGCTACACTAATCATCTCAACTTCCTGTAGAAAAGCAGCATCTCCCCCAAGGCTTTCATAATTAGTTGACTGTTTCACTGCAACCTTGGTGCCATCAGTAAGCACCCCTTTGTAAACCCTTCCAAAGCCTCCTTGTCCTATAACATTTTTGTCACTAAAGTCTTCTGTAGCTAGCTGCAATTCCCTCCATGGAAATCTTTTCAGCTGACCAAATGTAATTCTTCGATCAATTTCACCTAATCGGGAGATAGGGAAAAAGAAACTTAGAGACACTTGCACCAACAAAAATTTCAGGCTCTGGTTAGGGTGGGGGTGGGGAAAGGCATTTGAACTTTGATTCACTTTTTATGTTTGTGCATGCATGTGGAATTGGTACAGGTTTGTGTCCAATTACTAATAAGTTAAAAGTATCCGAAAATTTTCATTGAAGACATAAGATGGTTAAGTTGATAAGTTGACAAGGAAAAAACCTGCATCAAAGAGTTAAAGCGTGTGAAACTAGTTCCCTAAGTTCATTAATCCAATTGGAAAAATATGTTTAGTATGCAACTACAAGGCATATTTATAATGATGTCAAACAATTCAGTAAGGTACTATAAAAGACCACGATTTAAAGAACCATTTGCTTGTAGAGAATCTAGATAACTAGCATCTAGATAGTCTGTTCTTCAAATATCAAACAAAAAACAAATACAAAACAGTTGTATTTCCAGACAAGTGCTTATTACATGTAAACGCTATGAAAAAATGGCATAAAAGCTTATATGGAAAGAATTCAATCATATTTACAATGATATCATAACCTTGAAACCTAGCCTTCACAAGAGATGTTTGTATAACCCAATTTAACAATTAGATGATGGTCATGACAGTTACCTGGAACATCTACAAAGACTTCGCCCTTGTTGCCTTTATATATATACTTGCACAAGAAAAACAATACTCCGACCAAAAGAAGAGCAAGCATTAACCCAGCAATAAGTCCAGCTATAAGGCCAACCTTTGACTTACTGGAAGCACCTGACATGATGTGGAAACTTTCTGAAGCACAGGAACGGTGAAATTTTTTGCCACAATTCAACCTATTTCCCGAAAAACTGTGAAAAACAGAAGAATTTGGAAGGATAAAATAAGTACAGGGCTGATGAAGACAATAGCAATTACATTTTTTGAGAAATGGAAATCTTGATAGTGATTTATAAGCTATGATTCTAGCTACTTTCTTTTGACGTACGAGAAAGATTTTGAAGGTAAGTTTTGTTATGGTCTAAGCAACATAGTATTTACTTTTCAGTTATTGATTAATCATGCTTTACATTTTGAACATTAGCTTCGAGATTCTTAGGTTAATTATTATTTTTTTTCTTTTAGAACAACAAATATGGGATAGAGGATCAAACATCCAACCACAAAAAAAAGAAGTAGATGTCTTAACTACTAAGCTATGCTCACGTTAGTTAGGTTAATTATTATCTTTGTCTTTAGATTTAGTTCATTAGTTGTTATTGGTTTCCTAAGGTAATATGGGTTTGGTAACATCACTAATTTTAGGAACTCTTGGTTATAGGGACTCTTCTCTCTCTCTCTCTTCCTTCTTTTCTTTTCTTTTTGTTTCAATAATAGCGTGTTTAAATGGAAAAGAGACGGAATTTTTGTTTGCTGCATGCCAAGAGTGAACTTTTGGAGAGACGGGTTCCTAGAAAACTCAGTTTTAGAAGTGGAGACTCCTTGAATGAGTTAATTAGCCTCTTTAGTACTTAATTCCAAACACATGGTAATGGTTTTTGTTTGAGTGGAAGATGTAGAGTTCTACAAGTAGAATGCCTTGATTTGGACTTTTGTACCCATCCTTCAAAGGATAAATGTAATCAAGAAATTCTGCCGTGTAAGAGACGGAAGATACTTCCTAGTTTCTTGCTATTCAAACAAATGCAACTATTCCCAGATTTCTGGGCTTTCAGAACAGAAAGATATGGCACTTGAAGATGCTTGGAAGGAGAATACCAAATCATTGAGAATTTTGGCTAGGTAAAATCTGGCTGAGGAAGTGAGTGATATTCAGGGAACTGCTGGAAATATTGGATGATTCTAATCCCGGGCAGATGGGAAGACAAAAGATGGTAGGTTGGTGTGACGACCAAGTAAAGAAGGGATACATGAATGAATCGAGACCACGTCCGAATGAGAGCGATCTTAAGGATAAAATGGCTAGGAAAGAAAAATTGAAAGTTTACTATCTATACCAACAAGGTGCACTTTTCTTTTCGGTGGCTCAATTATAGGAACTTCATGGTTAAGCGTGCTTTACTTGGAACAGTTCTATATTAGCTGCCTCTTGGGAACTATCCTAAGACGCGTGTGAGGGAGGACAAAACGTGTTGGAAGGACTGGTGTTGATCTGTATAGATAGTCTTCACTCTTAGAAGCTTAGAAGCAAAAAGTAAGTAACGTGACCATGTTGCAAGAGATGCAGAAGAATGTCGGGCAATTAGGTCCTAAATCCATATTTCGAATTTTGGGCAGGAGTCGTTCCAGTTGGAGCCATCAATGCCGTTCTCAATTAAATTCCTCTTTTTCCTAATAGATTCTAAAATGAACTTGACTAAAAGTACTTCAGAGCAACAAGAAAAGGCAGAGAACTCAAAAAAATTCAAATTTTCTGCTGGACTGCACACCAAGAGGGTCTTAACATGGAAGAAAGGTTGCAAAAAGATGCCTAGATTAACTTCGAAAGGCCAGTCTGGTGTGTTCTTTGTAGAAAACCATAGAAACTGAAAGAGATCCGTAGTGCAGCCAGAAACATAGAGGACTATAAAGGCTCTAGATGAATGCAGTGAAAGCATACACATAAACCCAGTGATTAGGCTAGAAAGAAAGTTTAGACATACATTGATGGGGGTAGAGCAAGAGAAGAGATTGACCAAGTTTCATCCTTCCTCTTAGTATTTACTTTCCATTTCTTTTTTGAATTATTTTTTATAAAAAACCAAAATTTCTTTCATGGATTTAGGAGCTTATTAATCTTTTGTCCTTTACTGTAATTTTACTATTATTAGTTTAGAGCTTCCATGTATGCTCATATCTAGTTAGATCTACTGTATAGAATGTGATGATATTCTTCCATATTTGGTCTCACAAAAACACCACTGAGCTACAAAAAAAGATCTCTAATATGCAATTGGACGAGAGAGAATAATTAAAAAAGTTAAGATTTTGAACACCAAGAAGAGGAATGATGAGAAATAGTGTCCCAAATTAGATAAGCAGTCTTCTCCTCTTGAAATATTTTTTGTATTAGGCTCTAGCCAAAACATGTTGATGCATAATGAAAAAGGCATTTGACCACAGCACCTTCTCGTAACTTTTGAAATTCTGACCTGCCAGGCCTTGGACCACCTAAAGACACATCTAGGGAATGCCCCACGTATATTAAAAAGATCCAACAATTTAAATAAATAAAAAAACCATCACAAAAGGGACCAAGCTAAGGAGATGGTTAGTAGTTTCTTGACCACCTCAGACAGCACCAGTTTGGATTAAGGTAGTTAGAGAGATCTCTAATTTAAACATTTTCATTAGTGTTCAACCCACTGAGAACTCCACCACAAAAAAAGCGTTTGGTACATCTTAAGAGACCTTAAGTTTAAACAAGTTTTACAAAATACGGCCCATACAGGGTCCCATGAAGCCAATATAGAAGAGGGACTAAACTGTGAAGTAAGTGCTACATTTTCAGAGAAGTACATGTGTCTTTTAAAATACATAAAGGCTAAGAAAATTCCTAGATATTAGATAACAATAAATCTAAATAACTCCCTAAGTTAAAGTTAGGAATTACACAAATCTTCCTTAAATCAAGGTCTTTCCTCAACAGTAAATATCCAACTAATAAACTCTCTTATCCCTCTCATTAGAGAGGTTTCTTTCATTGAGGCTCAAGGCCGTTGTTGCGAATATATGAAAAGAAATAAATTTACCACAGCCTGCCAACTGAAGTTTATTTACCATTGAAATTTTTCATAAGGTCTTTGTTGAGGGTAAAAAGAATATATCACCGTTCCTCCATCCATTTCTTAAAATCAGACAAGAAATATTTTGATATGACAATTAAGCACATATTACAAGCCTTACAGTTTCCTTAGTCTTTATTTTATCTAGCTAATGCAAGAACGTCAAAATGTCTAATAAGTGTCTGTGTGTAAAGTGTTTAGGTATCTACCTTGATAGCATTCAAAAGTTCCACATACTTGAATTTTGAAACTTGAAATAACTGCTCCGGAATTTGGCCATTGAGATTATTTGAATCAAGAAAACTGTAGGAGAATCATATCAAAACATTAAAGAGTTGATGAACACATAGATCCCCGTATCTAAGAATTTCCACTAATAATCCATTGCATAACAGAAAACATACAGATTGATCAAGCTAGGAAGGGTCGAAAATGATTCAGGAATAGTCCCAGCTAGATGATTTTGACTCAGAGTTCTGTTTGAATGAGAATAAGGAGTCAATTTCTCAACTACAAACCAGATGCATTGCAAACACTCATGAAATATCTATGAAGTTCAAGATCATTTGAAGCCAATTACTTACAGGAACTGTAGTTTCTTAAGATTACCAAAGGACGATGGTATTCGACCAGTTAGGCTGTTATTTTCCAGGTCCAAGGTGATCAAATTTGTCAGGTTTCCAAAATCCTCTGGTATCTCTCCAGTTATGTAATTTCCCTTCAAGTTCCTGCAGTAGATGAATATATATTAATGAAGATTCTCTACAGCTCATTTCCAAATAGCAGATGTACTTCAAAAACTAATTTTGAGAACCAGCTTTAACTTCCAAAAAAAATCATAATCTTCTTTTCAAAAGCTAAGGTTATCAGAGATAATGATATCTAATGTCTAACACTTCCCTGAAACTAGGAAATTAAAAGAAAATGTCAGACAAAGTGATCCGAGCTCTGGAGAGGAAAATTATCCGCTTAGTTAATTGCAGGAACTTCATCCATAAGAAAACAGCATTTAGTACTTTGTTGATAATAGTGTCAGTAGTAGCCGCTGGATCATTTAAATTACAATCTTTTGTAAATAAATGATCTAAAGAAAGTTCAAATGGCGGAATTTTAATAATACATGTACATATGCAATAAAGAGCTCTTTATCGAACAACAACAAAAGTCTAAGCACCAGGTTTGAAGAATTAAAACTTCATTTATATTATATTATACTGTATGTGTGTGTGTGTGTGTGTGTGTGTTGTATATATATAATATTGAAATTGCACTAATTGAGAAAACCCTGAATTTGGAGTATAATAAAAGAATCCAACTAAAATTGCGCAAACAAGTATTTAGGGCTGCAAGTTCTTGTCCACAAAATAACATGCTACTTACAGAGTTGAAAGAGATTTTAGAACAGCAATACTCGGAGACAGGGTTCCAGTCAATCCCATTGTTGACAATAATCTGAGAAAATTAGATGTAATATAAGCAAATAGCTAGCAGACTAGAACTATTTTATTCTGGAAAGTAAATTTTTTATACAATTAAATAAACAGTTATACATATAGATCATCTGTCCAATCAAAATATATAGAGAGAGATCATCTTACTACTCATAAGATTATTCCAAAATGGAAGAGGAAGGTGTGCAAATAAGTACATTTAATTATGTCTTACATCTTAGTCACATTGTTTCCGGTACATATAATATTGGACCAACTACTGCATGGATTGATATGATCTACGTTCCAACTTGTGAGCTGACTCTCTGTTACATTCAATGCTTTCTTTAATTCAATGAGTGCCTGACCTGGAGAGGAGAAGAACAACATTCATCGTGTGGTGAAGGAATTAGAGAATATCAGTGCAATAGTAATTACACATAAATTTGCACAACTGGATATAATCAGAAATTGAGAAGAAAATTACATTATTTAACGATTAAATTTCACAAAATTTTCAAATTTGTTTCTTTTATAAAAATGAAAAGCCTTTCACATTTGTTGACAACTTCAGACTAGCTTTTCTACGATCCCACGTGAAATGAGCAAAAAGGGAAAAAGGTGGAAAAGGTGTCTTCCATGTGACAAGAAGTAGAAACATTTCGCTTATCAGCTCTAAGCTATACACATATACAGTTCAAAAACCAAACTTCAATTGCATACAAGAATGTCCTCTACCAACTGAACCTGCATATACTCTATCTGTCTTTGCGGATGGAGAAGTCAAGCTTTTAATTTCTATTTAATTTGATTCACTTCCAGAACCACATAAAGTGTATAGAGTTGAAACATGGACAATCATTTTGCCACAGATCAGATGTTTAAGAAAAATTTCTATGAGCAGCAGTGTAATAAGAAACTCGATTTTCCAATGCTAACTTGAGATGCAATTCATACCTTGAAAATCAGACAGTGCAATATAATGAAAGAGGGCCAGAACTAGAGCTGTAAGATAGAGTTTTCCCATCTTCACTAACATCATTTTCATGGGCAACGTCATGAAATCCAAGCAAAAAAGATTAATCGAGTCATTGCTATATCTGCAAAAATAACCATCTACTCAGTCAAAGATATTGGCACAGTAATACTCCAAAAATTGTTTGGTACAAGATTTTTAATGCTACATAAGCATGCCAACAAGTCCTTCAAGATGGAAAGGCTAAAAAAGACAGATCAGACTACAAGCAGAGCAGTTCTTGAACATTTGAAGGATTAGTTAGGACTTAGGATAAGATACTAATGTCCAACTGTTGGAGTGTTGATATAATCAAATTTACCAATACCTCATGTTTTTTTATTGATTGGTGTTTTAAATGGTATCTGAGCATGCTGTCTTAAGTTTGAACTCCTGTAATCCATTCCCTCTCCAATTAATATAGACCTCTACTTGTTGGGCCATCTACAAATTCAAACTCAAAAGGGAGAATATTGATATAAATAAATTTACCAACATATACTGCTTATTTGACATTTGAGCTAGAATGCAAAAATGTCTTTTGAGAAAAAGGTCGTGTGTCAAACTTATACTAAAAGTCAATGGTTCAATCCTCCACCTCACATTTGCTGTTGAACTCAAAAGAAAAAAAAAAATCACGGTTGGTGTCCAATGGTAAGAAATGGCAAGGCAATTCTCCAGTCAACCAATTTGTAATTTCAGAATGCTTAGTACTACTATCCCTACCAAGTTCGCATAAATAAACAGCAAACTCCAAATTAGCTTCTTTAGATACTTATCAGAATGGAACAGCATAAAACTAAAAAAGGAAATCCTCTAACTCCTATCTAGGACACACGACACACGAGAATTTCATCTTTCTGAAAACAAAATTTCGTGGAAAAAAACATTAGATTTGGGAAAAACATTGATTAGTGATTTAATTCCAAATTTTGTTTTTTGATCATAAATTTATTCCCATTCTTCAAAGAAACAAAAACTTAACTAACAATTAATGATTTTATAAATATACTATTTTCTGAAAACCCAGAATGCATGTACTCAACTAAAAGAAATAAATATTTTAAAATAAAATAAATAAAAATTCAAGTCTAGTGATGGTTGAGAATAGTACTCAAAAGGTTAACCACAAAATTCCTTGGTCATAGATTACCTATAGGAAAGCGTTTGAAGTCCATGGTAGTCAACACTTCTCCCTAGAGTTCTCAAGTTGACCTTCAGGTTGAACTTCGAATTCTATTATCCAGAACAGACTACAACTAAACCTACTTCTATTCTTTCAAATTACTAATTTTCCAATTATCCATCAAATTCGTCCTCGTGACCTCAAACTGACAAAAATGATTCGATGCGTGAAAAATGATCAACAAGAATCAAACAGAGGAGAAGTAGCTAAGGATCAAAAAAGTAAATCACTAATTAACAAACTGGAGAACAGAAACGAGATGTAAATACGAAGAGACGCTGAAAGATAAGAGAAGATCCAAATAAGTACCTGTGGGGAAGGAGCAGATGAGAAATTTAGAAGGTGCATTTGGAAGAGTTCGCTTGTATCTATCTACTTGATCCAAGTAATAAAAAACTATATATTAAATATATTTAAATTTTTATTGTTGATGTGAAATTAGAAATATTGCTTTAAAAATAAATTAAATATTTCTAATAAATTTGTTGATTCAGCAACTAATTTATTAATAGAAACATTAATTACTATTTTTTTATTTATATTTAAAAAAGATGTTATCAAATTTTGTTAATAGTAATTTAAACCTCGACTAGTTTTATGTTACGAAAAATATGATTTTTGTAAAAAAAACAAATGAAAGTTGTGATTAATTTTTATGTAATCAAATAATATGATTTTTTTTTTTTTTTTTTTTTGTAAAAAATGAAAGTTCAACTAGGGTGGTGAATATCCTTTTTCTAAGTATGTAGACTAACATAATTTCAAATTTACCAAACTTTCTAATTTCACAAGCCAAAACAAAATTGAATTACAAAAAAAAAAAATAATAATAAATAAAATAGTGTATTGTAATGAATAATAATATTAGTCATTTCATGGTGGAAAAATGCCCATTCACAGTGTGGCCCCACGGGATACCGTGGACTTGGACCTGGTAGTCGTTGACGTACCATTTCTTTTTTAGTTTTTTCTTTACTTTATTTTTGTGAGTCCCCACTCCTTTATTATAATTTAAAGTATTTAAATAAATTGTTTTTTTTTTAAGTAATTCAATCACAAAAATTTTAATTTAAATGTATTTTTGTTAGGAATAGATGAAAAAAATTTCAAAGAGAAAAAAATAGAATAATTTAACTTGGGTGAGAAATTCGATATTTAAAAAAAATATATTATATATAATGGGCCAAATTGCAAATTTAGTAATGATTTGTACTTTTTAAATTTAGATCACAAGCATCTTACTTTGGAGAAGGCAACACGTGTGATTGCTGATTGGTTTGTTCTTATCAATTTCCTTCACTCACTTAGTCTTTAGCGTTATAGACACGTTAATAAAAATGACGTCAATAAAACTGATTTGGGTTATTTAAGTTATTTAATCAAATTAGTGAAAATATCAGCTCTCTCTGAGGTTTGAGGAATATGAAATGGAAGGGGAAAATCAGCAAAGAAAAATCCATGAAAAACCTTGGGGCCTTTTTGGTTGAATCATCATAACCTAATACAAGGAACTCCTGGAGGAAAGAAAAATAAAATAAAACAGTAACGCAAATTTCATAGCTTTTTTTTTTTCTTTTTTTTTTTGTCCAATTATCTACTAACGGTGAAAATTATAAAAACTAAATAAAACCGCCCAATTGAAGGATGCAACTAAAATTTTCTAAAATTAAAAAGCCTAAAAATCAAACTTCTGGGGCTAAATTTAGAATTTAAATACATGGTCGGAAGTAACTAATGTATTTGAAATCTTAAACAAAAATGATCACTATAACATGACAAATGCTATGGCAGACGTGAATATGAGGACTGTTGATATGGCTGTATTACAAAGTTCAGATACAGCAAGGTTAAAATGGACTGATGGAGGACACGAGATTATAGGAAGATGCAAAAGCCAAGAAATGAAAGAGAGCAGAAGCCACTGAGAATTTACAGAACGGAGGATGGGAAGGCAAGGATTTCTTGACTGATTAAGTTTGTGTAATATGGTTTAAGGATGGCCCACGTCAAACTGACCTAACAAAAATAATTGTCATATGGTCTCTATCTAGAGAGATTCATTAGATTAATAGAGAGAGAGTTGGAGATGAGTTTTGTACCTCATCTTCCACCAGACAATTCGATTGCATCCTGTCTATGAATTGAATCTTCTCCCCATTCAAATCTTCTCTGCAGTCTCTCATACTCCTGTCTGCGAGTAACCTCCAAATGCTGCCATTCTTCCCACCTCTCTGCCAATCCCTCTCCTTCGAGCATTCGAACGACTTGCGACATTGCTGGACGGTCATCCGAACACGGCTGTGTGCACAGCAGTGCAACTTGGATCATCATCTCCACCTCTTGAATATTGTAGTTACTTAGATTCCGATCTACGATAGCATTGAGTCGTTTTTCTCTTTCTAGTTTCTTAACCTTCATATAGCCAATATGACACGAAAATTAGCCACCATGGAGTGAAAATGAGCCAAAATTTGGAGAATTCAGATGTGGTAATTTAAGAATACATGGACTTGATTTTTATTAGCATAGACATTTTGCTAGTGTTTGTGCTTAATCCATAATAATGACACTAATTTAATTTATCATAAGGAGGAAGCGTATAAGATACTAATCAGACAATATTTACTTACATGGTCGAGTAGTAAAACATCGTCTTCTTCTTCTAAGCGTGAGAAGTCGATCGCGCGCTGCCCTGTAACAAGTTCTAAAAGCATGATACCATAACCAAAAACATCAGTCCTTTCTGATGATTTTCCAGTTGATAAGTACTCCGGTGCTATGTGGCCCATTGTCCCTCGAACTTGAGTAGTGACATTAGTCTTCCTAACATCAACCAACTTTGCTAAGCCAAAATCACCAACAACTGCTTCAAAATCTTCATCAAGTAATACATTGGCTGCCTTAACATCTCGATGAATAATCTTTGGATTGCAATGTTCATGAAGATACTCTAAACCACGAGCAGTGCCCAATGCCACACGTTTTCGAGTAGGCCAATCTAAAGCAGCCTCCCCAGGCTTAAGTTCTGTATTGGAGATTGCCAAAAAAATCAGCAGAAAACGATAGCAGCTCTTTATCAGTGTGGCATTACAATAACATTTGGCTAAATGAAAGCAAAATAGAATGACAGTCCTAATTGAAAGTACAAACAAGTGTAAACAAAAGAAATTACAAGAACGAGCCCTAGTTGTTAGCTACATAAAGAAAAAGGCAGGAATTCGCTAAAAAGCTTCATGATAGGCATCCAAAGGAATATGCTGAAACAAGCGCACTCCAAAATCAAGATGGAACGCCAGTCCAATGGAAAGCAAGAGATGTCCCAAAGATCTATAGAAACTTAGCTCAAATGTTTACGGAAAAAGGACAAAAAAGCATAGGACATGCCCCAGAAATTTCAACGTATTTCCTACAATGAACACACCATTGCAAGCAGATAATTCCTTTCTTTCACCCTCCACAGCTAAGTGAGGGGAAAAAAGAAAAAGGGAAGTCAGCCGTGGAATGAACAAAATCAACGGAACAAGAATTTACTGAAAAAAATTGCCTCGAGGCTCAGAAAGACCAAACCCAACAGTCAAAGAAGCCAGACAGAAGCCGAAAATTGCACGAGGGATAGTTGAGAGGAAAGATCAACTTCCTATCAAATCTAAGATACAGAAGGCTACAACTTCCCGTCCAAGGATCCTCCCAGACAAAGAGAGTTACCATCACGTTCCAAAAACTTCACATAATTGAGAAAAATAGGAAGACATTGAGAAATAATGGTCTTCCAAGGGTCCCTAAAGATGCTCCTGAAAACAAAAGTTGGATCGCACTCATCAGAATGACGGTCGTACTTGCACATATTGACCTTATTCCACAAAGCTTCAAGTTCTAAAGAGAACGCCACAAGTGGCTAAAATTACCCAGCTACACGGAATTTCACCTATTCCAATCATTCCAAACACAATCTGAATACCACCTTCCAATTCAAGAGATGAGAACCTCACCCTGCTCAAAGGCCATCATATAAAGTTTCTCGTAATCTTTTCCAACTTGCTCCAACATAGTTATTTATTACATAAAAACGAAGAAGACAGCATATTCGGTTGTTATATAGACAATGAAAATTAGATAGAACCCAAATTCATTGAAATACAAAAGATAGTGCAATTATAACATAACTCCTTAAGTATTTGAGGTATTTGGAACCTCCCTCTTGAGATATCGGTCACTAATCCATCTACAAGATTGTCTAACTTCCTCCTTTCCCACTCCCTTTATTAATAACCAAATACCCTTAAAACCTCCCAGATAATTACTAATATGCCCTTAATAGCCTAATAACATTCTTAATGGAATTCCCTTTATTAATAGCCTAATAACTCCCTTTATTAATAACCAAATACCCTTAAAACCTCCCAGATAATTACTAATATGCCCTTAATAGCCTAATAACATCCTTAATGGAATTCCTACAAAATGATGCTGATTCGAAGGCCACAGGATGATAAGTCTGGCAACACTGAGTACATCTTCACGGCAGAGGACAATTTGTCTTCTTGTTAGTTTTTCGTAAAACTTCAAAATCACAATAATAAAAAAAAAGAAGATGATCATGATGCTGATACAAGTGCTCATGCTTCACAAATTCACATAAAGGAATCAGAAAATGAATGATCTACAACCAATATTTCCCCTATTCCACATCCAGTATTTACACAAGCACTGGACCAATTAATTGATTTCTTAGACCTTAGTTTTATTAATTGAATGCACGTCTTCTCCAGTCTCTTCTCCTCACCTCAGATTATTAGCGTGTACTGCAATTCCAGCATGGAATTAACTAACAAAAAAAAATTAAGCATCTGATATATACATATATAGTATGTATCATGCGCTCTTGTTTGTGATATAGCAAAGACATGCTCCAAACAGCATCATGTAATATATTAACATTGAAGTAATTTTTCTCAAATAGCAAACTTTGTATAATGCAACTACTGCAAATGTAATATCAAAAACTACCAAAACACCTTATACCTCGAAGACGGTAGGCAACACTCAAATTCTGCATAAAGGGATACACCAATAGGCGTTCTGTCTGAGTCGTACAGAACCCAATCAGCCGCAACAGATTTCTATGAACAGCTACGCTAATCATCTCAACTTCACGCTGAAAAGCAGCATCTCCCCCTGGACTTTCATAATCAGTCAACCGTTTCACTGCAACTTTGGTGCCATCGGCAAACACCCCTTTGTACACCTTTC